ATCGTCCAGTCTGAGCGAGCAGCACTGAGGTAGTTTGAGTCACTGTCACCTGCCCAATAGATTCTGTCAAATGAGAAAGATTAGAAATCACAAACACTTTTACAAACATATATCTTCACAACACGCATAAAAAATAACAAATAAGCAACTTATCTTTACTGACACAAACATCGACATAATGCTGCCAGCGTCCAGATCAATATGGGGATGAAAGTCATTTTTGTTGGTTGTAGGTACACTTCTAGTGAAAAGCAGCTGTTGATCATGTTTGATGTGTGACAGAGTTATAAACACATGCAGAGCACTGAAGCGTGTGTCGCTCATGTAAAACACACTCTCTATGCAAACACTGCAGTAGTGAACAGTTTGAAGTTAGTTTTATGTGCTTCTTCACTGAACAGGAAAATAAACTGAGGTCACTGGAAACTTCACTGACAGGTGTGCTTTTGTGTTTGCTATATAACTGATCATATTTTTTTTTTAAATGAAACTCCTAATATCTGAACCAAGCAAACATAGTTTCATATGAAAGGCACAGACTGATTCAATAATTCATGACAGTATATTCATAATATGAGTGTGTGCTTGTGTAGGACCTTAAAGTGATGTCTAGGGGTTCCACACAAGCTGTAAGAACTAAAAGTACTCTATCACTGGTGAAGTCAAACTAACTAACTACTTGTAATGATTGTGTGCGGGGGATTGGGGAAGTTAGGCAATGTGATGTAGGGACTATTTTACACCAGGGTTACACCTCTATCTTTCTGAGAAAGATATTAACCACAGGTGTGTCTTTTTACAGTACAGTTTATTAACACCATACTGGGGCATTAGGACCCACTCAGAGCACAGGATGAGCGCCACCTGCTGGCCTCACTAACACCTCTTCCAGCAGCAACCTGGTCTTCCCCGAAAGTCTCCCATCCAAGTACTGACCAGACTCAACCCTGCTTAGCTTCAGTGGGTGTGCAGGAGAAAGCTGCAGGTTGATGCTGCTGGCTTGTGTAGCAGGTCTTCTCATACGTCTGGCCCAGAGCATTCAAAGAATAGACCAGCGTGACTGTCTTTTACACAGAAGTGTGGTCAAGACCAGACCAAAACCAACACCAAGACCATTCAATAGCCACACCGCACAATCCTCAGTGCTGAAAGTACTGCTCAGTGTTTATTTGTTCGCAATAGTCATGGATGAGTTTTGCACTATGGTGGCTCCCAGCATGCATTGCAGCATGAAGCTTTTTGTTAATTGTAACTATTGTTGAGATTCTTATGCTGATTCTTGATGTCTCTGTGTTGTTGTGTTGTGAAGTCAGTTGTAGATGTGGTGTTTGAACTTGTTTCTTTAATTGTTTCTCTTTTTATTTCAGTTTGTTAACATGTTAACAGCAAGTGTTTGTGACTAATAATCATCACTTGATTCATCATGTAATTATCACAATATCTTGAACAGTGCTCCACTGTTACTTTTAACGCCCTGACTAACTCAGTTTTGAGCTCATGTGTAGTTCTGTGTTTGGTCTCTGTGTGTCAGTAGTGAGTGATAGTGTTTGAGCAGCTGCAGCATCAGTTCATCACTGTGACTCTGACTGACGGAGGTTTTTGTACCACTCTTTATCACTGTGTGAATGCATGATCACCCGCACAACCACCATCAGAATCTGTTCTGCAATGAAAACTCTGACAGTAATAATGTCCAGCATCTTCAGTCTGGACTCCAGTGATGGTCAGAGTGAAATCACTGTTAGATCCACTGCCACTGAATCTAGATGGAGTTCCTGACTCAAGCTTTTTTACAAATCGAATCAGGAGTTTAGGAGCTTCTCCAGGTTTCTGTAAGTACCAGCTGGTATAATGACGCTGTGAACTATCCCTGAGCACATCTGTGCTGGTTTTACAGCTGATCTTCACTGTTTGTTCTGGTTGAGCTGCTGTCGTTGAGGGACTCTGAGTGACGCTGATCTGTCCTCTACTCTCTGAAACACACAACAAAAAGAACATCAACTCAAAACTTGGACAATATACTTGAAGAAATGGATTGATATCAAACTTGTGCTGCACAAACCTTGAGCAAACGCTGTGAGAGTCCAGATGAAGATGATGATGAAGGTCATGTTGATGAAGATTGTTGTGTGTGTCAGTGATGAAGTGTTAAACTCACAGCACTATAAACACTCTCAGAGCACTGAAGCATCTGATCAATATGCAAACACACTCCACATCATTTACCAGAAGACAGTCGCTCATTAACAGACACAAAATACAGTTACTGAAGTGAGAACAGAGTAAAAATTAATAATTTTCATAGTATTTGATCTTCTAATATCTAAACTGTTATAAATACTATCAGATCATTCAGTTGAATGAATAAATCTGCAAGACCAACTTTATATATATTTATATACAGTGGGTACGGAAAGTATTCAGACCCCTTTAAATTTTTCACTCTTTGTTATATTGCAGCCATTTGCTAAAATCATTTAAGTTCAATTTTTTTCCTCATTTTATATATATATATATATATATATATATATAATGATAACTTTTATATTAACCTGACTCTCTCCTGTGAGACTTTGAGAATATTTTTTGTGTATTTGGATCGAAACGTCACTGTTAATCCCAAACGTCTGTCAGTCACTGAATCAACTGAGTTTGATTGTGAGTCGCGTCACACATCATATAAAACATGTTCACTCTTTATAAATCTTCATGAAAAAAAAATTTAAATAAATATGGTGATATGCATATGTTGTTTATTGATGGTGAACAGCACCTGTTGAGTAATCTGGTCTTTAATTTTAACATTAATTTTATGTCATTGTTAATTCTTTCATGCTTAGATATTTATATAAATTATATTCATTATCATCTGCTCTGAAATTGAGAAATGTGTTTACATGATGCTGTTAATATCTACACTATGAGGGATGAACTTAATAAATCAATGATGGACTTATTAAACTGATCAAGCAGAACATGTTTATGATGCTGATGATGCAGTTTAGAAAGAAAAATAAGGATAAATCATAAATGCAGAAACTCAAAAATATAGTAAAGGATGGAAAAATATCCACTGAAGATCAAAAGTGACTGAATTTCTACATGAAGGGCTGAAAATATCAGGAGACAAAAATAACTTCAGAAAAATCATAATAAAAAATAAACGATGAAGCTCAACAAAACTGATGTTTATTGTAAGATAATATTGATTTGTCTGTTTTTTCATTGTTGAGTGAGTGATAGTGTTTGAGCAGCTGCAGCATCCGTTCAGTCACTGTAACTGAAGGTTTGTACCACTCTTTATCACTGTGTGAACACATATTTACTGTTGATGTAGTGTACACTCTGACAGTAATAATGTGCAGCATCTTCAGTCTGGACTCCACTGATGGTCAGAGTGAAATCAGTTCCACCTTGTTCTCCATTCCCACTGAATCGACTGAAACTGTTACCATAGCGATCTTTTACATGATAAATGATGAGTTTAGGAGTTTCTCCAGGTTTCTGCTGATACCAAGCTAAACCCCAGCCACTTATTTCAGGATCAGTTTTACACTCTATAGTGGCGTCTTGTCCTTCAGAAACAGTCACAGCTTCAGGCTGAGTCACAGTGATTCCTCTGGATGCTGCTGACAACAACATTATATGTGTTCAATCAAATGAAATGAACATTAAAGAGTCAAAAATGACCATCTTTCACTTCTGTTACCTGGAATAAAAGCTGCCAGAATCCAGATGAAGCTGCTGAAGAGATGCATTGTGTTTGTTGGTTTTGTACCGTGGTAAACAGCAGTGTGTTATAAAGTGTTGGAGTCTGAACGCGATAAACACTCGGAGCGCTGAAGCATGTGCTGATGCAAAGTGACTCTCTGTGGAAAAAGCCTCCATCAGCCAGTCGTTTAACAGTGTTTATTTCTTCATAAGACTCTCATCATCGACACATTATAGAGAGAAAAACACAACCGCACAAAAGCTCAGTGAGGATCTGAGAGGTTTTTATGATGTTGAGTTTGTTTAACAGTCATTATGAGCTTTTCTAAGCTGTCAGACTGTTGAGCAGCAGAGCAAGTCTGAAGATTCAGTAAATGTGTTGTGTGATGTTTAATGTATTATAAGTGCACTTAGTGAAGTGCTCGAGGGTTTTGTTCAGCTGCTCTATTAGTTTGTTTCACTGCTATTCACTTTGGATGTTGACAGAAAGTAAATCAAATAATCATTTTAATGCAATGCAGATTTATTTAATAGCACTGAATCTAATCTGGAAAGTCTTATTGATATTTTCTATCGATATATATGTTTTGCTAATATAATTTTTGAACAGTTTATATTGCACAAACTGATGCGTTCTGACTGTGAATATTTTTGAAATAAATACTTGGTTCATAAAAAGCTTCTTTTGTTTCTCTTAAAGGGATAGTTCACCCAAAAATGAAAATTAAGTAATCATTTCCTCACTCTTGTGTTGTTCTAATGCTGTATGCCCTTACTTCTTTTTCGGACCGTACAAGAGATTTTTATATATATATATATATATATATATTCAGCCCACTTGTCCATATAATGTCAGTATAATGTGAGAAAGAAGTGAAAGTATCCCAGAATAGTCTCATGTGACGCTGTATGCTCCAAGTGTTCGAGGGAATAAAAACAAATATCCTGACTTGACCAGTGGTCTCTGTGCACGACTGCACATTCATGAGACTCTATTCAAGATTAATAAAAACACAACATGAAATACAATCTATGTGTTTTTTTCTCTGAGGTAAATATATCTGTTGTCCAACAACAAGTTATCTCATTCATCTGCCATTCTGATCTTCATGACAGATTTGAATTAATAATCAAATTAAATTGAGTTTTTATTACTCTTGATTTTTCACAGCTTGTGTGCTTTTCTTTGGTGAGTCGGAGTGAACTGCTGGGTTTCATAACACACCGTCATGCACACGCGGTCAAATCAGGATACTTGTGAAATATTATGTTAAATTTCAGTTTGTTTCTCACCAAACCCTATAGAGAATCATACGTTTTTTGTAGTCAGTTAATATCATGGATAACTGAAATAAATAGTTCAATAGTTTGCTGACCACCAGAAGACATTGAAATAGCTCATGCCATAAGATAAAAATCAG